TAATCATTTTGATTTAATCATTGCCAACCCTGGACTGGACAGACTTTGATTTGCCTCCAGCTCAATCACAGAAGCAGATTAATCGATCTTGCCTTAATCAATCTCCTTTGACAAAAAGTTTGGAAAGAAATATCAACATTTTAAAATACTACAAAATTTAATTTGGAAAAATATAATAGTTTGATCTTCAGAAAAGAACTCGAAATATTCATATGTATCCTTCCTAAATAATGTTAAACAAGCATTTAATAATAATTCAGGAAACTGCACAATAGTGAAAATTCTTGGGAGTTTCCTGGGAAACTAGCATTTCCTGGGAGGCAAAGCCTCCAGGAAACTAACTTTAGTATTATTGGGAATATCGTACTCCACTCCTTTCTACTAATTGGCCGACTAATCTAGACACTGCGTCCCTACTCCCTATGTGCTCCATGGAGCCTGAACTCGTTCCGAATGCATAATAAACTTGACTTGTACTCATACGGTTCCCATAAAGTGCCATCAAAGCCTTAGTTAAGGGTACAGAATCGACAGGTTTGGCTTTTCCGGTTTTTAGTCTCGTCTTAAAGCTGACATTCTGAGCTATCCAATGGTACCATTACTATCTCTGTGCGTTGATATATGCATTCACTAGAGATTCTGCAAGGGAGGGAGGTGGGCGGGGTCTTTAAGTAATAAGACTGGAGAAAATTCGCTGTTGCTGCCCAGCCTATAAATAGTCTCTACTTGGAGTGAAGCTTAGTCACCCTCCTGTCATTGAATGGGGAGGTGTACATGTAGTCACTACCACCATCCTTGACTGGCACTAGCTTCAGTAATGTTTAATTTCGTATCCTTGCTACATTGGCTATTCGGATGCGCGTGGCACTTTGTTGGGCTGTACTGAACATTCACACTTTTTGTAACGGCAAAGTTAATAACTCCTAGAGTTTTGAAGCTAGTACAGCAATGAGACATATACCATTCAATTTGCAGTTAAAATATCTAGAGATTCTCAAGCCATTTTTTCGATTTTGTTTTAGTTTTGAAAATATTTAGAAAAAAGGTGGAAAAATTAAAAAATTTTCTTGAAAATTCAAAATTTTTTCAGAAAAATCATCATAACAAGAGAACCAAGAAAAAAATTGAAAAAGTGGCCTGAGAATCGCTAGATATGGTCTTACGCATTGAATGATATGTGTCTCGATGTTGTAGCATGTGATTTGCAACAGTCATCTTTTTTTAGAGTACCCCCTTTTTGGCCATTTTCTATGAATTTCATGTTTTCTTTAATTTTTTTTAAAACTTCACAGGAACAAAATAGTTGTCATTTTCGATTTTACATATGTGTACCAAGTTTGGAGATGATCCTTCCCTAAATATAGGAAATAGATTTTGACCTACATGGTCCCCTTAAGACTTGAGGGTAACATTTTTACTCAATACTCAGCCATACATCAACAGGTTTGCGGTATTTGTCGGACCACTAATTAACTGCCATGTCAGTTAGACAAATTTTGCTAAATCTGCAATTAACTCAATTTAACTGGTAACTGTCTGTGGCCCTATTAGCAATAAAGGGCTAACTTGTCATTCTTCAACCCATGTTTTCAAAATGATTGGCATCATAATCAAAAAACTTGTTTTGTCTTAAATAATTAAGATGAATCTTGTCTCGTCTAGTTATGTCTTGTTTCAAATCTGTCTGTCTCATCCCGGTTCATGATACCGGGACACAAGTTTCAAAGTCCGGGACAGAAGTCTTGTCTTGGCTCATATGTTTATTCCGGGACAAATTTTACCCTCTGTCCCGTTATTTTTTCCTGGAATTTTCTCATCTCATTTTGTCTGTCCCAGTTCATTTTGAGAATATTATTTCAAGATGCAGGAGTCTACTCCAAAGTGACCAATTTTTCAAATATTTGGAATTTTGTGGCTTAATTGTGCAGTTATATCAACAATTAGTCTGAACTCTGAAGTAGATAGATGATTCATCCAGAATCAATCGTAGAGATCTAAACTTGGCAGGAAAGCTCCAGCCTCCAGTTATAGCTTAAACTGTAGATACATATCATGCCAGCATGAAAGCATGTGTAATTGATGGCATGAATGGGCCTTTTTCTCTCATTCATGGGTGGCTTCTGCTCAATTTTCCTGAATAGGATAATTCTTAAATTATTAAATCTTCAATCCTGTGTTATGGCTTTTTCATGCTGTTTTATTAGTTGTAGCTTCTTCTTTATTCCTGGAATTTCTGATTATTAATAGCTAAATAAGATAAATTTTTTATCAAACCTAATGAGATGAAAAGTAATAATAATTTTTTTTGAAAAGAGCACTGAGTATTTTTTGTGCAAGAAATACTTGCTAAATAAATTATAATTTGAATATAAACATCACTTGAAAACTGAGCGCCCCAAGTCTTGCAGCGATCAGTTTTGGAGCAATGTTTATAGGCAAATTAAAATTTATTTAGCAAGTATTTATAGGACTTGAAAGGGCAAGTATTAGGAGTCCTAAGGACTTGAAAACACACTTCTTTGAGGCCTTTTACTTGCAAATTTTTTGATAAACCCGCCACAGCTGCTAACAGCTGACAAAGCTTGTTGTCACGCTGCTCTGCCCCTTTTGTCCATTTAGTATGCAGTTTTCTTTTGTTTGAGAAAGTGCTAGTGTGTTGTGTGGTGGTCTGTAAAGAAGCATTGACCAGTTCAAAATGTCATAAGACCATGTTCTTTTATATTATCTATAGAATTGCACTATGTTCACTTGCCTGGCAAGGTTAGTGTTGCCATTATGTGAATAGCAAATAACATGTCACTAAAGAGAGCCTCAAATTCTCTGAGAACTTGTGGGTCAACTATTTATCACAATGCTGCAAGATGTTGAATTAACTCAAGAATAAAGTAAACTCAAGGAAATGCCTATTTTTTCCTGTCTACTATAGTCAGGGTTCATACTGGTCTTGGAAAACATGAAAAGTCGTGGAATTTGATTTTTTATTTTCCATGCTGAAATGTCATTGGATTTCATTTCAGGTTATGGAAAGGCATGGAATTTGCAAATAACAGAAGAAAATAAGGAAGTGTTTTTCTGTGCTGCATGTGTTTACTATTGGTGCAGTCTCTTGTTTCCTGCATTCTGATTGTTTCTCCAATCATGTGACCATTGTTCATGTGACTAGAGAACCAATCACATGAGCTTGGTCACCAAGCTCAGTTGCATTCGGCAACTTTTCGATCTGCAGTGGCAGCGTTCCATCTTCAGCGTGCAATTTCTACATCACCATGCCTGGAAAGTAAATTTCATGACTTGTGGTTAAAAACAGAAGCTTATTGTGACTGGCTTGCTTGCCATCCAAAGCATGAAGGTATGGCGATATGTACATTGTGCTCGAAAGACTTTGATGTGTCAATTATGGGGGAAGCAGCTTTGAAGAGCTATGCATTTACAAGTTTGCTATTTATTAACTGAAGATGATAGAATATGCATGGCTAGTCTTTCAGTCATGCTAAATTTGTCGTATATGAGTCATGGAAAATTATATTGATGATCATGGAGAGTCATGGAAAAGTCATGGAATTTTTTTCTAAGTACGGGTATGAACCCTGTATAGTGATATAAATTTAAACTACCCAATCAAATTGGGTAGTTAATATTTTTTCTCCATAGATCAATGTCGGGAGTGCTGCTAGTTTGCATCTGTACTGTAATATGAGGTGACTTGGATTATTTTTAGCACTGGTATTTCTTATTATTCAAATAGTCACACAGTAAATATGTGAAATATCTCTTTATTGCATTTGTAGGTTATCTCATGGTACTTCAAGAGCCATGAACACAATTTTTGTAAGGCAAGAACTTTTCTAAGTTGTGGGGTTTTCTTATCTTGTAGTCAAAACAAAGTCACCCTGTTCTACAGTATTCATTTTGATTTCACTATGAAGCATGTATTTTGTGAGTAAATTGAGGAATAGCACTTGTCAAAGCACTGAGGTCCTTGATATTTGGTGTGGAACACTCGCAATTCTAATAGAATTTAATACAATTAATGGGCAATTTTTCAGCAGTTAGCATAAAGATATTGTTTGAACCTAGAAGGACTGTTTCATTCCCAACCCAATCAAAACCTATGATGGTGTCATTTGCAGCCTGTAATTGGTGTATTTTTGACATGTATGTAAGCATTAAGGTTTGCTACATATCTTCATCCTTTACTTTCTGGTCAATCTGTATTCTGTAAGTCTTGCATGAAACATTAAACATTGAAGCAGCAGCTGAAGTGGGAAAATTTTCATCTCTTGCATACTACAAGAGCTCTATTCATATATTTTCTTCAAGAAATGCATTATGTCTCTTTGAAACATTTGATTAAGAAAAATTAACTTCCTAGACAAGCCCATCTTAAAGTAGAAATAGCATGAAATTGTCAATTGAAAATGTTTTTGCACCTTTTAAGGGTAGGTACATATACTGTAAAATCAGATTGTGTTAATAACTTTGCTCATAATTTGGATCCTGCAATATTTTTCACTTGTCAAAAGTAATTTAAAATAAAAATTTTAATACTGAATTTTTAGAAACAATCTATAAAATGGTCCTAATTTTACTCATTATTTGTTAAATCTGCTTGTTAAAAGCAGGTTTTCATCCAAGCATGGAATATATACACTTTCCAAGTCACAAGTAGAGCTTTCCAGCCATTTTTTTGGAGATGCCTGATTCCTGCTAGATGACTTGTCATATCTAATTCACGTAAGTGCACAGTCAAGATTCCAAAGTTCTCCGAAGGAGCCCTGAGATTTTTCTTTTTCTAAAGTTTGAAGCACACCTCAGTCTGCATTCAGATTTCTGACCTATTGACTTTTTCCATTCAATTTTTTTCATTTCCCTTGAATACAAAGGCATATTAAAATAGAAATATGTGGATCAATTTATTTTTTTTTTTGGCAATTCTGTAATTTTTGAATCCATGTGATTGTTACCATCTGTGCCAACTTTCCTTAACATGACCTCTTCAGAACCTGATATTCAGGTACCTGCAATCACGAGCTCGTGTTCAAGTCTGGCTCTACGAGAATCAAAATCTGCGCATTGAAGGCCACATCATCGGCTTTGACGAGTACATGAACGTCATGCTGGACCAGGCTGAAGAAGTGCATATGAAGAAAGGCACCAGAAAAACAGTTGGTAAGTTCAATATTAAATGTTGCTTCTACAAGTTAAAACAATGACCTTTTCTAGTATTAAGAGGCATCATTACACATCACATTTATCAAGATAGGGGCATATTTTATAAAATGGAATTCTCATTGGGAGACACCATTGGCAAAAGAATATGTAGAGAAAATTTCAATGTGATTCATGTGTGCCACAATATCACCTTTAAAGTTGCTGTGAAACTGCGCTCGCAATGCTTGGGTGTATGTCAGGACTTACAGATGCTTTCATCCTCATCTGATGCATATATAAACGCGGTCAATAAATCACCAAATGCTACTGATTAACATCTATTTTGTTTGTTCCAGGTCGGATATTGCTGAAGGGTGATAACATCACACTGATCCAGAATAGCAATCCTGAAATCGATGTGTCAGGTGGACTGTGATAGATCCGATGCGTTTAAATCTGTTCAGTTTAAATAGTTTTAATATTTTCATGTATCAGTTAACTTCAAACTTCATGATGACAAATATTCAATTATGTTTTGTAAGTTGTCGTTCACAGTCAAGAAACCATGGTTGAGGTCGGACAGTAATTTTATGCCTGAAGCCATCATGAACCAAATATCGAAAGGAATTTATTATTTGTTCCCTTAGGTTCGCTCATTAAATTTCATAAACTAAAAATATTTTTATTGTCCAAACCAATTGATCGTAATTGAAGTATTACGAGTGCGACTAAACCAAATTCAGTTCAAACGTGTATCTTGGTTTCACATTAACTATAGCTATGACGTTGAATTATTTCAAAAGCTGAAGCCTGTAAAACTGAATTTAATTAATTGATCTTTGATAGGAACAATTAATTAGTCGATTGAACTGTGTGAAGAAATAAGTACGATCATAGTCACTCATTGACTCCGCTCGTTCGAGAAAAGACGAAATACGAGAAATCGAGGAACAGACCAATCATTTTTCAAGTAAAATAAAAATTTTATTTAGCTTACAGAGTTGGCGCATTGCGTGCTGGCCAACGTATTCCAAATAAAAAAAAAAGGTGTTGCGCACATTCGCAGCAGGCAGGATCTTGGGTGTTATTATTGGACTAACGAAAGTCACATTTATACTTGTAAAGGATCTTTCGCAACTGATAACAAGCATATACGCTGTTTAATGCGCTTGATACCGTATTGGCTCAGTGCTATACCGCCAGCCATCCTTGTCATTTTACACATGAATACTAAAATCTTGTCATTTAAAAACCGACTCACAAGAGTCATGGGCACGCAATGTTGGCCGAGCAAATGCTAATTAAAGCCGAAACTATCGTTCAGAGAGGACACGAGAAGGTTAGCAGGAGAAACGGGCAATAGAAAATATGCTGTGCGGAGAGAAAATATCCACGCTCTAGGCAGGGAGCGCTGCGAGAAAGCTGGACTCAAAATATCGAAGGAACCAAATTAATTCAGAAACCCTAACGCAGCTGAGTCAGAGTGGAGTGGTAGTGGTGGAGGAGCGCGGCCCCCTCGAGTGCATTTTTAGGTGTTGGGGGTAACTAAGAGAATATTGTTGGCGGTATACGTGTTTTGCGAGATTATAGTGGTGAACCACCTGCCTCCGAACAGTAGGAAATTCCACCAAACGAGACAGAACTTGTTACCATAATGCAACATTACCATAATACATATGAACAACACCTATCCGAATGTCAAAACTTGACAGAGGCACTGATTGCCTTTTCGCCCAATACCTGCTGAAATACCACACACGCCTAACAAAAATTATGCGACCGAACCACCAACCTGGCAACATGCAAGTCACGCTTTATGTTAAATACATCAACCTCGTCCAACCATTAATACCAAACAACCAGCGAGCACATTCTGACACAAAATCCTCCGAGCCACCCTCGATTTGTACCACACATCGGGACTGATCAAAAGATGGCCTTTTTCACTTGCAAACATTGATGAATTATGACAATCCCTCCTGCCGTCAACAAGCCGGCACTGGTCAAATTTGATCTGGTCACTGCATTCTCCTAAATGAATACGAATCGACGAAAACATCCAAAAGCCCAAAACATCTTCAACTACTTCTCTATAGTTCCTGGTGATCTTCACCTCTTAAATTGCTTCAACAACCCTCAATACACATGATCTACGGCACAGCCCAACTCCAGTTGCAAGTTGGTTCCAGCCTAGGCTGGACCAATAATGCCGGTGTCGAAAACGGTGCTAGAACAACCACAATGAGATGGTTAAAGCGGGATTGCAGAGCCTCCTTCATAGGTGTTCTCCCAGGAAGAGCAGCTACAAAAATGAAAGAATGATGTTGGTTATGGAGAGCGCTATCAAGATACAATGTGCTAGCGTGATCCAGGTGGGTGGATGGGGGAAGTATGTCTGGTCAATGAAGGCCATTTTTGGGCAAATGGTGGCGAGTATCAAAATGGAGTACCGTACGTCATGCAGGCTTGCGACAGCATAGCAGAAAGCTTGTTAAAATGTCAAGTTGGAAAGCTGAAAATGCCAGTCCTTGGTGGTCTTGTAGGTACAGTGATATCCTCTTAATTTCGGGGCGGTGATGTCTTGAAAAGCATGCTGGTGCCGGTTAGGGCGTTCAGAGCAGGCACTTCGTGAGCTATAGAGGTTTGCCTAAAGCGTTAAATGGACCAGGCAGTAGTACCTTTCAACGAGTGCAATTTTATATTGAATGTGCACGCACAGAAGCAGCCCAAACAACGGCTTTAGATGTCACATAACTAATCAAAAAGCAAACTGAAGTTAAGGATATATAGGTTTTAATATATATATATATATTGAATTATTTGCTGCATTGAAATGTTCCAAAGGTGCAATGATTTATTAAATTATGATTAGATTGTCCACGTCGCAGAAATGCTGAAGCCCAAGCTGAAAACGCTAACCTGGCTCACGAGTCTCAAGGAACGAACTTACGGACAATACATTTGACGACCCAACGTAGTCATCAATAGTAATACTGATACTTCAGCGAAAGAACAGACCTTTCTTTCGCAATGCAATAAAAGATCACAAGACACACATGTTCTCTTCATAAATATAATTCTCGCATCCCATCACAAAGATATGATTTAAAATGATGAATACCTATCGATAGATATAATTTAGTTCACTATCATAGCGGGCCCCAATCGCCATTCACAGAGTTAGCAAGAGGCAGAAACTTGCTTTCTGACATTCAGGCACGAATATTACCATGTCCTTACATAGTTTACGCATATATTTTGTTCATATTCGTTTCGATTGAAAATCTTAAACACAAAGATCCTTAGAATTATCATCCTCATTCCAGAATCATTTTGAATGACTATAAAATGTTAACTAAATCTCAACTTCAAATTCATACCTGTTTAAAAGTAAAATACCTGTTTAAATTCATACCTGTTTAAAAGTAAAATATTGCTTCTTCTAACTATTCCTCTTATCAGTCTATTATTGTAAACATTTGCACATAGCATGGTTTAATAAATATTTTGACCGCACTCAATTCTCTAGCATAAGTTATCTTCGTGTTTCTTCTTAGCCTTTAATCCCATGTTTCCGAGCGTATAAAGTGAAGGTCACTCCCTATTCTCGAGCATGGTAGTGAGCGCACTCAATTCTCTAGCATCTAGCATAAGTTATCTTCGTGTTTCTTCTTAGCCTTTTATTCCAAGTTTCCGAGCGTATAAAGTAAAGGTCACTCCCTATTCTCGAGCATGGCAGTGAGCGCAGTCTTGGCGTGTTTAGGCACATGGCTCATGACGCCCACGAGGGCGACGAGGTGCCTAGTGTTGTATTCTGATCGGTGCTCGATGAGCCAATCACGGAGTGCGCTCTCTGGCAGGTAGAAAGCTTTAATGTAGCTCTCGACCAATGGGCGTCCAGGGAGAGGTCGCAATCCACACAGAGGTTCCAGCTTTGACGTTAGTTGCTGCAAATACGGGAACTTAAATATTATGATGTTTAAAATTTCCTAATCTGAAGTGAACTAAGTCATTTTTATTACCACGTGTTTTTACTTATTTACCACGTTATATAAATAAAAAAAAACACTAAAAGTTCACGGTTTGGAATTCAGTTTTTTCTCGTACATCCACACTTGCCAACCCTGGAAATTGATTTGAATTGCTAAAATTGCTAACTAATGAGTAGAAAAGAAATTAATATAAAATATTAAAAAAACACGTTTTTCTGGCTTTTACAAAACTAAAAATAGTGAAATTAAACATATAAAAAAATTTAAAAACCACGTTTTCTTAACGGACAAAAAAGAAAAACATTTACTCTTACATAACATTACATAACATTTTACATAACTTAAATGTTATGTAAGAGTAAATGTTTTTTTTATCCGTTAGGAAAACGTGGTTTTTAAAAGTTGTTTTATTTGTTTTATTTCACTATTTTTAGTTTTTTAAAAGCCAGAAAAACGTGTTTTTTTAAATGTTTTTATATTTATTTATTTTTGATTATGTACCTATGTCACAAACACCAAAGTTCATTTACAGATATTTGGGAGAATACGTAGCTTCCACGGAAATAAATTAATGTGCTAATTTGTAATATCAGTATTGTAATGTATTTAAATTCTTGATGATAATAACAAATAAAAATGTGCCAATATTCGTCACGTTCATCTGAAGACTTGCCACGTGCGTGGCAATATAAGCTGTGTGGGTTTTAGACATTTACTCTCCAGCGTAGCCAGGGACTGCTACCTCCAAAATTCATATCCCAAAATTTCTATAAAACATGAAGTTTATATATAATTAGGACGACCCGTACATGTGTTAATGAATGTCTTAAGGTTGTTAGTCAAGGTCTCAAGGTTCCTCACCTGGTAGTCGAGCTGCATGAGAGAGCGCCCCTCGTTGGAGCAGACCTTGGCGGCCGCGTAGCCCGCCAACAGCGCCGCGTGTAGCTGATACACGGTAGTCCTCCACAGATGCTGCTCAGCATTCGCGGGGAGAGGTTGTCGCGTCTTTACTGTCTGCAGTACTGATGAAAATCCCTGTACAGACAATGAATCATAATAATGGACCTTGAGGATAGGAGGACATAAGAAGAAAATAATGAACAAAAATCTGCATGAACGCAGCTAAACATAATGAACAGTCGAATACGTGTTGGATCAAGACAAGTCATTAGCCAAGCCTACATGACAACTAATTGGCTTGCAGGGCTAATGAAAACATCTATTCGAATATCCTAACGTCAAATAGCCCTGCAGTTCACACAAGAAAATATGAGGAAACAGTAAGTTTCAATAGGTTGGTACAAAGAGAAATTTCTTCACCCATAATATTGAGCATACAGTAAAATGTAATGGGTTGTTGTCTCTTGTCTCCTCACCTATGACAAGGAGATTGAAGATTGTGACAAGAAGGATGCAGTAAAGATTTAAACGAGTCTCAACAGAAACGTTTAATGTCTTGCCTGCATTAGCCTAAGAATTTGGTCCACATATCCGTTGTGTTGGCTCTCCAGTCTACTGATGGACCAGTTCACTGATGACATCTGCTGCACCAGCTGCTGATGTGGCACAACTGCAGCGCCCACGCAGCTGTACACGGCTGGCACAACCTGCGCAGAAGCGAATTTGTTATAGTCACGTATACTAAATTGTTTTAAAATTCACAAAAATCAACACAATTTTAACAAACATACGAATACTATTCCATTTATAAGAAAGTAGAATCATAATAAATGCAAACGATGCTAAATAGCGAAAATCAAGAATTGACAATTTGTTAGCTCACTCATGATAAATGCCACAATTTATATAAGACTTTGATTTTTTTTTTAATTTCAGATAGCGCTTACGAGGACATGCATATTAAGCTGCAATGAAATAAATGTATAAAAGAAACCACTGTTTTTAGTGTTTTACCTCGGGTAACACGTCGTCGATTTGAGTGAAGAAAGCCTCGCAGGCTTCGGCCGCTTCTGCAGGCAGTAGAGCTGAGATGACGGCCTCCCTGAGGCCACAGAGCTCCCGGCAGAGCAGCAGGAGGCTCTCGCACGCCACCAGCCGCGCCGACACGCCGTCCGTTCCGCATGCCGGCAGTTCCGTGATCACAGGTGATGCCTTCGCCCGGTACACCTGCGTCAGACAACCTCCTTAGGATCAGGCATTTTATGAGAGGTAATATGACACAGACAAGCTCAATTGGATCATGCATTCCATTAGAGGAAATATGACACAAACATGCTAATTCGGATCATCCATTTTATGAGGGGAAATATGACACAGACATGCTCAATTGGATCATCCATTTTATGAGGGGAAATATGACACAGACATGCTCAATTGGATCATGCATTTTATGAGGGGTAATATGACACAGACATGCTCAATTGGATCCTGCATTTTATGAGAGGAAATATGACACTGACATGCTCAATTGATCATCCATTTTATTAGAATAAATAGTATACGTAAGAATGGAACAACAATGTGGAAATAGTATGGGAGTTAAATGATCCTTCTGAATCGTGATCATGCAGGTATAGTTAGGATGATCTGTGTTAGAGGCAACGCGGAAATAGTGTGCGGTCGAAATAGTCGATTATGTCCGCGGCAATAAGGGAACAGTATGCAATTCAAATGACCACCCTGGAACGTGGTCATCCAAAAAATATTCTGTTATTTAAATGATCACATTGGGCCATGACTACCCAAAAAGTATATTTTAGTGGATCCTTCTAGACCGGAACTACCGTATGCACAAACAGTGAGGCTGAGTGAGCTGTTAACATTTTCCTTTGGAACTATACCATACCAGATACCATAACATACCATACATTCCAGATACCATACCAGAATATATACCAGATACATACCAGAATAGAATATATGCCAGAACAGAATATAATATAATCTGGTATAATACATACCAGAACAGAATATATACCAGATACATACAGAATATATACCATATACATACCAGATACCATAACAGAATAATACGCAAATTAGATAATTCTAATTGGCTGTGATCATAAAGAAATAGTATATTTTGAATGATCTACCATAGTTAGTGGCCATACAAGAATACGGTAGTGAGCGAATAATATGATCCTTTACAACCGTGACCACAATGGAATAGAACGCGATTGACATGATCTCAAAACTGAATGAGCTAGACATGAGTGCAGAGGCACACAAGACTTTCATATTGAGCTACTAACTCGTGAAAACACAAGTGCAAAAGATATAACGAATTATGAATACCATCGCAATACCCAAGGAAATAAATGTGTAAAACTTCGAAGCAAGAATTTCAAATTACAAAAAATCGCTCATTCGTCCTTATGGCAAAAATCTCATTGTTGGGTAAATAAATAACCAATAGCATATTTCCCTACTTCAAACATAGCAATTATTGATAGTACAACAAATGATTGCTGATCCAATAAAAAAAATTGTAACGAGTGATTTCCTGGGAAGTCTCACTTTAGCAGTTCTGCTGGAAATATCTGTGACCGAGAGGCTCTGTTCCGCCGCACCAGACGACGACAGATGGTGCTGGGTGTCTTCCATGATGATCTCCTTCTCGATGTCCCGTAGCACAGACGACAGTTTGTTGCTCATGCCACTGGATCAAAGAAGAATTCACACCAATTTCATGCCACACGTCAGAGCTTGAATTAAAATGGCTTACTCTGCATTACTGTTTTATTTCAGACCGGCTATGATTTTGCTGTTAAAGACACAGGCTGAGACACACAAATGAATTGGAATGCTTTTCGAATTTTAGATTTCATGCAGAAGTAAAGAAAATGTGTCAAGTATGAGCAATGAAGTAGCATTGATAATGGTTTCGCAGACATGAGCGTGAATACGATACAAAAATTTGCTGAAAGTCTACGGATTTGCTCTCAACATTAAATTACTAATTTGGTTGTCCATAGGACAGAACAGTAGTTGCTATGGCACTCATCAATTAACAACGTGATAAAATTATTACCCACATGCGTTTTTCATTGCAGATTCATAATTATTGGCTCCTGCAATTCATAACATCTGAGTTAACAAGGCGAATAGTAGGTAAACATAATGTGAACGTTTGCCTTACGTGCAGACACTAGAAAAATGCCCCAAACTAAAAAAATACAGAAAGAAGAATTTCCTGAAAAATATTTGTAAATCAGACTTAAAATTAAAAGGTACGGTTTAGCTCACACAGACTAGGGTATACCAGTACCTACATATAAAATATACATTCAAGGCACGCGCATCACCTGAAGCAAAAGGTGGTGCAGATGGTGTAGAGGTAGTAGCGGACCAGCTGAGTTGTGCACAAGAACACATCAGCGGCTATTGGCTGCAGCAGCTTCATCATCAGTAGGTACTTGCCCACCAGTCGCAGGATGGCCAGACATGTGTTGCTTGCTACTGGCAACTGCACAATATTTCTCAACATCAACTACCAACAAATTATTCCTATTAAACTATGAAAAATATATAAATTATACTGGGTGAAGTAAAAACAGATTCCACAACTTTTGCAATTACACGAATATCATTACTATAAATAAATGATTTGAGAAGTTTAGCAAGTGAATAGATGTTATTTCAAAGAAAGGGTAGCGATGTCATTTATACAATGAGAGAAGTTTTGATAGCTCAGACAAGAGATAAACATATGAGTGGATCCTGCAAAAACATCTTTCTTAAAAAAATCATGGATCCTTTTTATCACTGCCTAATTCTGATAAGACGTCAAAAAATAAAACAAATAAAAAATTAAAATAAAATACTTAAAAAAAACTTTAAAAAAAACACGTTTTTCTGGTGGACTAAAAAGTAGAAAATAAATTATGGTTCGCCCCAAAAAAAACGTGTGTCGGGCAGATTTATGATTAAAGCGAAAAGCACACAACACTTAATAGGCGAAAATAGCCTGCATGCCGAATTTCAGATCTCTAGAACAATCAAAAGTGGGCTAATTTTCGTTGTCAATGTTAACAACAAACAAACAAACAAACAAATAAACAAACAAACAAACAAACGCGAAGCTAAGCTAAGAAAAACGTGTTAAAAAAAACACGTTTTCTTAACGGACAAAAAAGAAAAACATTTACTTTTAAATAACATTAAAGTTATGTAAAATGTTATGTAATGTTATGTAAGGGTAAATGTATTTCTTTTTTGTCTGTTAAGAAAACGTGGTTTTAAAAAGTTTTTTATTTGTTTTATTTCATCATTTTTAGTTTTGTAAAAACCAGAAAAACATGGTTTTAAAAAATGTCTTTTATATTTACGTACTGGTATTCATTTTCTAATTTTTAGTTTAGCAATTTTAGCAATTCAAATCAATTTCTAGGGTTGGCAAGTCTGGACTTTCAACAAAAAACTCCATTCCAACCGTGAAATTTTAATTTTTTGTTTACTTTTTTTATTTAAAAAAAATTTTTTTTTTATTTTTACTTCTGATGATCAAATCTTGAAATGTTAGGCAGCATAAGCATGCATGCCAAATTTCAAGTTTCTAGGAAGTTCAGAAGAGCTCTAAATTAAGGACTGAATTTTTGATGACAGACAGACAGACAGACACGAAACGAAGCAAAGAAAAAACGTGGTAACAAGCTTACATTAGCTGTTGCTGTAAATTTTTTGAACGTGTCTGCAGTTATGCTATCACTTGCAATCCCATTCTTGCCGTCCAAAGTGCTGGAAGGTTCATCATCATCAGTATCTTCATCAGATTTTCCTAAAGCTTCTTCAGGTGCCAGGATGTCTTCCTCAAGGCTTGTCTCTTCCGAGGTCAGGTCAAATGGACTGGACGAGGCATCTATAGACCACAGGGCATCTGCAGATAGGATTGTGAATTAATTCCTAGTCTTGTAACTATTAAATGAATAAATTTTCATACAACATATTTATAGAGAAACATTGCTGACCAAGTAATAATGAAATACTGCTCAGGGCTTAGCCTACAATAGGTAGTATTTCAATGTAACAAAATACTTTGAACTAATTTGATGAATTTCAAATGAATTTAGAAAACCCTTCATACCAAAAATAATGTTATAATGACATCAAAACCGGTTCATTTCTTTGAGTCTGTTGCAAGCAACAACACTTATTTACCATTTTTCTTTGCTGGGGAGGCAGCCACAACCAAAGATTTTTCAAAGGATGCATCTTTTCTCTTCAGGAATCTGTATTCTAGAAGATGGTAGACAGTGAATGTAGGTTTGAGAGGAACTATTTGCCACGCTTCATTTTCTAGAAACATGTGTAATTCTTCTAGCCGGGCCGCATGCTCATGATGGAAGAACCCCATGCTTTGCTTCTTGATTGAGTCTTGAAGAGCTTCAGATTTACTACCACAAAAGTCTTCTCCAATTGATATCAATCTACTGGTGATATCCAACACTAGCAGGAAGTCATCAAACTTGAAGTGTGACAAGTCAGAAGCCAGAATAAATGTACGGATTTTAGCTTGGACATCTTGCCATATTCTGTGGAGGCCATGGATCAGTTTTTGTTCAACATAACTTCTTTCATTCACAGAACAGTTTTCGGCAACAGGGGACTTTGTAGGGCTACTTCTGAGAGATGAGGCTTCACTTTTTAATTGCTTCATTTCCTCAGCTTCATTGTGGTGCCATCTGCTGATGGCTTTGTAGTTTCTTAGAATTGCAAACATTGACTTGCATAAGTCTAGATAACAAGCTAAGAAGCACTCATGGTCAACATACTTACACAGTTCACTATATTGCATCTTGCTAAATGAGGACTGGGTTGCTTTATCACAGTTTATGGAATTATTGGTATCATTGATAGAGTTATTAGCAATATTAGAAATGTTGAGCTGAGACACAGAGCTGTACAACTCTACATAGCCCATAACTATAGAGAACGCTGAGTTGTGGATATGAGATGTAAGGTGCATATGCAGCTGATCCATTAGGGCTTGGCGTTTGTTAAGTAGCATGTAAGCAGAATGCAACTTGGCATATGTGTTGGCATTGAAATTGACAACAACTCTGCCAATTGCACAGTCCAGTTGTTCTTCAGCCATCTCTAAAGTCTCCTGCAATTTAGCACTTAGATCTGAAATGCATGAGAAGTGTCTGAAAGTAGATGCTGCAGTCTGGCACTCCAACAACAACTGAATGGCACTAGGATAAGCCTCAGCTCTCAGGAGTTTTTGTAACTGTATATCAGTCATTTGTAAAGTTTTTATTGTCTTCAGGTTGTTCATTACTTCTACTATTCTCTGTCTTTTTAAATGATTAGCAATAACACGTAGACTAGCGGAAGTAAACTGATCTTTGCCAACAGACAATTTTCTCCTACTTTGAACACACAGAGCCACAGCAAGGCAGCCTTCTTTTTGGATCCTGTCAATCTTAGCCATTTCCTCCATGCATGCAGTTTGCTTGCTTATAATGAGGTCTGAAACCCTTCTGGAGACAATGGCATGCTGTTTCCTAAGTCGAGATCTAATTCCATTGATAACATGGATGTCAGAAATATCAGGAAATTTCTGCAGTTCATGGCTTCCCACATCAGGATTGTCACTTTGGAAATATATGGTCTCAATTGTATCTATCACCACATCTTGAGCCTCATTGCTCAATGGAATTTCTTCACAGATGCTGGCTTTGCGATTCTGATGTCCAATGACAGCAAGGTGATTGTCAAAATCACTGGTTGTCCAGTTTTCAGAAGCTGCTAGATATGCTGGAGTTGTTGGAGGATGCTTTGCAGTCTTGTTAGTTTTTTTATCAATAAATGTTTTCAACTTTTCTTTTATATCCATAATTGCTATTACAAATTATAATGTGATCAAAAATATGTGAGTTACTATAACAAACAGAGAGGCCAATATTATAATTTAAGAATTAAGCCATTTCATTAGTAACATTATTGTCTCTGGCAGATCTTCCAAATTTATGCAACATCAGCTAAGTTCAAGGTGCTGGCAGTGGTGAATGCAGCCTGAAAAAATATGATGACATCAGCAATGGAATTAATTAACCATCTTTATACCCAAAAATGTCTAACAAACAAGAACTACTTGCGATATTTATGGTCAAGGATATTATTTTTCAGATAAAATTGTATGGATGAACTGTTGTTTTGTCCACTGAATGAATTGCCTGCAATTTGATGAAAGTATAGGAGCCAACCTTAGAAATTCTAACCCAAATAAATACAGCTACACAGTCTTCACTGTCTTCATGTGAAATTAGAATTCAATTAAAAACTCAGATTCAGTTATATTGAAATAGGTTAAGAAACAAGCATTTTCACACCTAAAATTAACTTTAGGTAAAGTGAATTTGAGCAAATTTTGAAAAATGAACTCCAGTGCTTAATAATGGCTGTGTGCAGAAAAGACTAAAGCAACTATAGCTTTCCTATCATATTTGGAGCTGCAAAATTTGCACTAGATGAATTTGCTCTTGTATTGTTAACAAAAGAGAACAAATGGGCTGCGAGATTCTAAATGTATTGAAAATTTGGCACTTTGAAGCCACAAAATTTCAGTAATAAGTTTGAAAATTTCAATCCTTATTGACAGAAATTATTGTTGGATATGCATTATACATATAATGTTTGAGCAATATCCCCAAAAATGTGTATTTTTGAAACAACAAAATGTTTGTATTTAAACTATTTTAGAAAATATTTCTTTTCCATTAGAGCAGGAGCATGCATTGTACTGGCAACTTGAATGATTTGGCAATATTAGTCACATAGACTAGTACCTACTCAATTTTAGGCAGAAAATTTAGGTACCATCAAACTAGGTTATAAGAGGCAGGAGCAGGAGATATAAATCAGAACAGTACTCTGCCATGGCATAAAAATGTTATAGTGGTGAATGTAATTGAAATATTGCAAATAATAAAACAGTGACTTAAACTTTAACAATTTTCCTATCTATGTAGCATAAGCCACAAAGGAAGTTGAGAAATCAAACATTTACTAGCTCTAAAAATCCCTGAAAAAATGTTAAAAAAGTGATACCATCAAATGGGGCAATAAGGGATGGTTTTGAGCATTTTTTGTTTATAACTTCTTACCATAAAACATTTCATTAACAAGTTTGGGCTCATTATAAAGGTCTTTGTGAGGGCCATTGTATGGCATTTCCAAAAAATTCCATATGCTATTTGTAAGCGTAAAGTGCCAGATGCAACATAAAAGCCTCAGGGCAATAGGATTACCCCTAGGAACAGAGCAATAAGGACAATTGAAATACCGTATAACTTAATTTTAAAACATTTGATGCATCATGCATGCAGAGTGTACTCATCCATTACTAACAGTACCGCACTCTGAAGTCTTTTTTCTTTGTAGATGATGTGTATGTAGAATAAATTATATTTTCTGTGATTTTTTCTCATTTTTTGTGATATATTGCCATACCCATACTGTACATAATACATTACTGTATTATTGATGTGATATTACCGTATCCATGGACATGTTATAGTTATAATGCCATTCAGGCATGGATCATGGAATATATCTACTTGGCAAGCTGCGACTGAATTTTTTTAGCTGTGGTTTTATGGATTTGCCAGCCGTGATTCTATTTCTTTGAGCCGCAAATTCCACATCTTGGCTATGAAAAGCCATCAACAACCTGCAAGCAAATTTACAAAGTCCGTGCATATGTTACCCCAAATCTCTAATTTTACCCTAAAACAGTCAAACAGCAAAACTAACATTTGGCTTCACTCAAGTGGCAACTGAACACATGATAATGCAGTCTGACCGCTCTGACATGACTACAGTCTGCACTCACTCTGCAACTATGTGATTTTCTGCTTCAAGGAAATGTTTTGTGTTGCCTTGTTGTAATTACGTTTTGCAGGATATTTTGGCGGGAACATTGAAGTACCGTCAACCGGGGCTACTCAGGACAGATTTGATCGTTTTTTTTTTTTTGTTAATAACTTCTTACGATGAAACATTTCATAAACAAATTTAGGCTTATTTTATAGCTCTTTGCGAGGGCTATCAAATGGCATTGTCAAAAAAATTCCATATGCTATTTGTAAGGTGCCAGACGCAAAATAAAGATTGTCCCGAGTAGCCCCGTCGGTCGGGGCTACTCGGGACCATGGGAATAAAACTTCATTTCAAAACATTTGAAGCATGCAGAGCGTACTCATCCATTACTAACAGCACTTTGAAGTCCTCCTCTTTCATTGTAGATAATGTAGAGGTAGAATAAATGACATTTTCTGTGATTTTTACCTGTTTTTCCTTTATTGATATGATATTACCGGTACCATATACATTAATTACCGTATTATTGATGTGCAATTATCATATTATTGATGCAATATTACCGTATCCATGAACATGCCATTGAGCATTTACAACAACCTTGTCCACTACAAGCTTCATATCAGCAACCTTATAGCATTTTTTCTGTATCTGTGAGCTTACAGGAACAGGACGGCTTGTAATTTCACACAATTTTAATTGCATTAAGTGAATTAACTATCAAAAAAGATCATGAAAAACATACTTAAAAAAGAAAGGAATGTTTCAGTGACAACCAATGTATCTTTTGGAGAAATAAATCATAGTTTAGGTCAATTACTTTTCATTCTATGATGCCTGGTGCACAATTCTATACATGACATGCTATGCACAATTTTGTGATGACCGATGATGCACTAATTTTTCGATAAGTGAAATTTTTTTCGCCGAGCAAGGAAAATGTGATCAATAATTGTAATTGGAGCCTTTGCTAACTGAGGTTCTACCGTAAATGCGTTTTTGGGGGTAACCCGAATAGCACCGGGGGGGTGTCCCGAGTAGCCCCGCCGTGCGGAAATGGCTGCCATTTCTTTTTGGAATGAGATAGGCAAATTCTGTCAATTATGTTTTCAAGCCGACACCTGGGTGCAACTTTTACGTAAGTAAAATTTTTTAATACGGCAAATATTTTTTTTGCTACATACCTTAGCAGTTGTAACTTTTTGAAATATAGTTTTTCACCATTTTTTTAGGAATTTTTCAAGCAAGTAAATGTAGTATTTTTCAACTTCCTTTATACTACATAGATAGGAAAAATTTTGACGTTTACGCCACTATTTTTAGTTTTGCAATATTCCAATTAGTTTCGCTACTACAACAGTTTTACGCCGTGTCAGAGGCCTGTCCGAGTAGCCCCGCTTGTCCCGAGTAGCCCCAGTTTACGGTAATGCAGATTGCGCCATCATTGCGAAAGTTGAAAATTTTATTAAATGATATGTTTGCAAAGTTGCAAACCACAATTTTTCAATCAAACAAAAAACATGACATTAGAGGCCTAGGAGGATGACCCTTATAGCCCCATTGTGCAGAAATGGCCAACAATTTTTTTGGAATGAGCTACTCAAATTCTATCAATCATGTTTTTAAGCTAACACACTAACACAGTAACACTTTACACTTGTGTTCACCTTTGATGCACTGTAAATAAAATTTCTTAGGTTGAAGGTGAAGAAGAAGTCATGCGCAGACCTCTTGTAACACCTGGACTCAGCAATAATTATTTAATTCAAGTCTTCATCTTCTTGCTCTCAGCTTCATTCTTCTCTCTGTCTGTGTTGCTGCTTGCTCTCTTGTAAAGTTGTAACCTTGGTAAGAAGTAAATACACTTTCCGAGAGCAAAGGTGTGACTACTTTTTTTTTTCAAGGTGTCCACGTTGGGTGGACTCACTGGACTGAAAAACACAGGACAACCACAAGGATGACCATTGGGCCTGAGACTGAGTCTGAGAGCTTATGTTATGTTGGACTTCTTGGCAAGGAAAGTTGGCCTGTTTGTCCTTGTTTGCACAAGGTCAGTAGAGGTGATGGATGAGCTTGACAGCATGTAAGAGAAAATTTACACATGACATGGAAAGTTACACATACACAGAACACAGATGACTGTACACAGTTACTCAGAAAAGTTACACATGACATGATCATTGCTAAAAGTGGGATAACACAACTGAGATAGCCCAGCATTGCTCAAAACCAGCATAATTTTCATACTTCACGGGGTCTTCACCCTGTGCGCAACTTGCGCTGCGCACTTGCGCAATGCCACAATTTGCTCTGCAGCATGCTTGCACAGCGCAAGCATGCTGCAGAGCAAATTAGCCAACATGATTACTTGCTGAAAGCCACAGCCCACAGGGACTGAATCCCTTCATCATCATGGAAGTAAACCAGCAAGCCAATGAGCTCAGCATTGAGCTGCAAGCCGCCAAAACAATGGTCGTAACCCACACACTAAACCCTGAAATATTTCTATTCCATGCAGCCTAGCCCCTTCAGGCTTTCACCACTTTTGAATTTTGATAAAGAATGCCTGTGCCAAAGAGCTATCAGTACAGTGTATACTGCTACCTCTCCTGGCTCTTTAGCCTGACTGTTCTTCTAAAGGCTATTCCCCTGCCAGCCTGCCTGTCTGTTCTTCTGGAGAATGGAGGCTATTCCCCTGCCTGTCCATTCTTCTGGAGGCTAAACCTCCATTCTGGAGGCTTACCTCCTGCTCCCCCTAGTCCTACTTTAGCTACCAGCTTACGGAAGAATTTTCACATTATATCTCAGTTTCCCATTCTTTCTCATGTTTCAAGCAAATCCTACCTACCCTAACCCGTCACGGAAAGGGGGGGGCAGGGGGGGGGTAAGCGTAGAAATTCAGGAAAGAGAAGGGGGTAAGTGTGGACTGTGGAGGAAGAAGATGCTGGTGAATGTCAGGGCTGGGGTTAAGCCTGCAAAGTGGCCCAGTGGGTAAGGACGTAAGGTGATGTGACAGTCTGGTGCGGGCCCGTTCCCATTTACGGCAATCTGGTGCGGTCTGCAGGCCCTGTAGCTCATAGTGGCAAAGACTTTTTTAGATAGGTTCTCCATCAAGTTCATTTGTGAGTCCTATTAGTAGACCAGTAAAGTATCATGAATACCAGACTTATGATCTTATCATGCATATGAAATTGGTTTAAAT